CAAAATAATCTCGTAACTACCACCACTGTTGTAATGTGTTCTATCATTAGGTGGGTTATTTTGCATAATTTGGTAAGGTAATGCCAATTTCAATCTATGTAATGATAACATATTAAGGTCTTGGGTGTTGCTGGCTATGAAGAGGATACTGCTGATTTACAAAAGGATTTAGATCATTTAGTGAGTTGGGCAAATGAATGGCAGATGGGTTTTAATTATAATGAATGCAAGATAATGCATGTGGGTTACCATAATTTGAATTATAAGTATAATTTGGATGGAAATAACCTTAACAGTGTTATGAAGGAAAGGGATCTTGGTGTAATAGTCAATCAGTCTCTAAAGCCATCCAAGCAGTGTGCTGTTGCTAGTGGTAGGGCAAATAGGATTTTAGGTTGTATCTATAGAAATATTGAATACAAGTCTAAAGAGGTTATACTTTCATTGCACCAAACATGCTTGCCCTTTCAGCCGTGTGGGCGTTATAATGTGACGGTCAATCCCACTATTCGTTGGTAAAAGAGTAGCCCAAGAGTTGGCGGTGGGTGGTGATGACTAGCTGCCTTCCCTCTAGTCTTACACTGCTAAATTAGGGACGGCTAGCGCAGATAGCCCTCGTGTAGCTTTGTGCGAAAATTCAAAAAACAAACAGACACAGGTGAATTGGTAAATATTCACTTCAAATGCTATATTCAGTCTTCACTTTGTTTTATGGGTTAATATTTCATTATTTTTCATGTAGCAAAAGATCCATTACTTTAATAAGTTACACAAAGAATTTACTACTAGTTTAAATGTTAATGTAGTGGAGCATTTCCAAACTGGTTTGCTATCAAATATGAATAGGTGTGCCATGGAATTTTAGAAAAATTACATGGGAAAAAAATTAATAAATGATACATTCTTTATATGAATTTAGTTTTATAAACAGAACCAAAGTATATTCTGTCTTGTTTTTTTTAACTCATAATGTAGGTTAATTAAGATGTAGAATTATGCACAGACTGTTTTCTATGTTAAAATGCATTTATTTGTGAGCTTTCAACCCTCTTACCAGAGCCTGCATCAGGCAACAATGGACTGAGCAATACAAATTCATTTATCTGTGGAACACTGCTTTAAAATAGATGCTTAGGCAACAATCGTAACAATAACTGACATCTGGTATTAAAGTTGTTAACCATATAGTAATTATGATAAGTACAGAATTAAAAGTCAGAGATTTAAGCTTTTACGTAAATTTGATAATCAAAAACCTTGGTCTTTGTAACTGTATAACAATATAAAAAATCTTATACTCACTGTTGCTTAAAAATATTTAAGATAAATCAATTATTGGGATATAATCAACATAAGAAAACTACAATTATAGGTATTATGCATATAAAAATAAATTGTTCACACTTCAAATAATACACCATAGAATTAAAGGTTTAATTTTATGTTGATACATAAAGAGAGCTGAAAGCTTGCAAATAAAAGAAAGGTATTCTAATGTAGAAAACAGTCCACTTATAATTCTGTGTATATTCTGTTGTTCTTGTGGTTTAAGGCTTCAGATGCTACATCACACTATGTTCTAACTGACCTTGTAGTTCATGTGGCAATAATTCATTTTTGGGTCAAGTTTTCATGGGATGCTTTTGGGGGGTTGGGGTTGGTGTGCCCCAACATTTGTATTAAAGTAAATGTGCCTTGGGCTGGAAAATGTTGGGAATCACTGATGTAGTGTATATAAGTTTTCAAGTTCAAACCCATTTTTATGTAGGTAATTTATAGTACTTTGTTCTGTGTTTTTCATGTCAAGCCTGTGCTATTCTAAATTTTTCATTTGTATCTTGACAGCTCATAGAATTTGAAAAAAAGAAGAAAAATAAACTATCAAAATAAGAATTATTTTCATGATATTGAACAAAAACATAAGGTTACTAAATGTAATTATACTTTTGAGTACTTAAATGATTCTGATAGGCTGATCAATTACTTCCAAAAGTGTCTCTGATGGGTCAGCACTAATTCTATAATCTAATACAAGGTGTCGTGAGCTGTTTAAAAACACTCGGCATGGGTGAGAAATAACTCAAATAAAGTAAAACTTTTGGACTAAATGTTCCAATATGAAAAGTAGGTTAGAAATTGAAAAATAACTCGAATAAAATAAAACATTGTGTGGTTTTGTGCTAAAACAAAGAAACTTCTGAAAGCTTCTTTTCAACCAGTCGTTTCGCAAGGACAGAAAAAAGCAGTATCCATTAGGTGGTTGTAGATGCTTTATTTAATTTCTGATAACTAATACAGCTGAACATTATTATAAAGTGACAATAAAAATAAAAAGAATTTTACTTTATATTTTTTTGTTATGATAAAAAATCAATTTCATGTCTAGTTTGAATAAATGTTAAAAGTCTAAGGATATGTGATTTATTTTTAATCATATAAATTTTAAACAGGTATGTTTTACCTGTTTTCAGAAATGATATGTAACTAGTAGCACTCAGTATTTACAGTTTGTTTACAATCTGATAAACAAAAAAAAAAGTGAATTTGAATCCCAGTAATAACTTCAGATCATCAGTCTACATGTACGTTTATCTTACAGTTTATTGGTCATATTTTGTATCAATGACTCAAAAACATCATGAGAATGATGAAAATGGTGCTTTTTCAAAGCATTTATTTCACTGTGTCATGTTATGGGAAGAATAGCATGTTATTGTACTTAGTTATTAAATACATGTGAATGGAATAATTTCCTTACACATTGGACTAAATGCATTTCCAGAGATGTGGTTACACCAAGTAGTCTTCTTCATCCAATCCTTCTTCCTCGTCTTTACCCCACACTTTTCACCCTGTATGCACTGGAGTGTGAAAATGAAGATGAGCATTATTGGGAACGTCTCTTAAAGTGGAATAAACAGTCTGACATAGCTCTATTGACCTTCCTTGGAGTAGATCGGTGAGAAAACGTTTTTTTAACATCCTGATGCGCTGTTAAGAGCATTTCTAGTTTTATTTAAAGTATTGTGTAAGTTATCCATTAGACTCTGCAAGAATGAAAAAAAAAGCATTCAAGATAATAAATGGATTTTACTTAAAATTATGTCCACTATCTGCATGTGCACATTGTAAACTATCTTTGAAATGAATATATTTGTTTTAGTTTTCAGTTACTTTGTGTTACAACTTTATTTATTTCTTGTTCTGAAACATATAATTCAGTCTTAGTAGTAGATAGTTGATAACAGTGAAAAAATTGCTTATTCTGTCTTTAGTAATCATTTTATTGTTCATCATTGATAGATTTTATCGAAATCTTTTTACCATGCTAACTCATAAATCTTTTGTAGTAATTTTATGAAAACTAACTATGAATAATTGTACTTTTTGCCAAAGTAAACCTCATGGATGGTTACAATACTTCCAAGTGTTTTATTCTATAATTGTGTTTATTATACGTTTTTTTTTATGTTTTAAAGAAAACTTCTAGGGATATGTGATGAAGACTTTCTGAAGTATCCCAAAAAGGTATGAAAACATATGTCAAGATTCATGTATAACATAACATAATGTTTTGGTACAACATGGTACCTATTGGTCCATCTTGGCTGTTTCATCCTCTAAGCTAAATTAAAATAATTTAAAATCTTAAAGCCAGCCCTTATCATTCATATACTTATCAAACTTTTTCTTAAACTCACTTAATTTTCCTGCCACTACAACATCTGAAGGCAGCCCATTCCAAAGGCCAACCACCCTGTTGAAAAAATGAAACTGTCTAAGCTGAAGATGTTAAATATAAAAAAAGATGATGCATCAACACTATCAATTCCCTTTACAATCTTAAACACCTCAATCAGGTCCCTCCACCCAACTCATCTTTTTTCAAGAGAAAACAATTTGAGAGATTTCAGCCTCTCCTTGTGTTACAACCACTCCATCCCAGGCACCATTCTAGTAACCCTTCTGTGAACCCTTTCCAACAATTCAATGTCTTTCCTAAGGTAATGTAAGGAGCCCAAGACTGAACACAATATTCCAAATGTGGCCTAACCAGTGAACTGTAATGCGGATTCGAACCCGCGACCCTCAGATTGTGAGTCGAGCGCCTAATCCACCTGGCCATGCCGGGCCACCTATTAAATTGGAGACGGCTGGTGCAGATAGATCTCGTGTAGCTTTACGGAAAATTCAAAACAAACCAAACCTAAAAAACAATATATATATTATGATAAATGCTAAATCATGTACAGCTATTAATATGCGTGGGAATCATCTGAACATAGATTTCCTGACTCTAGATATAAACTGGAGTCATTTCTTTGATTTTCTTCAACAACCATAAATCTTCGTTTTTCGTACTTGTAGATATTGATCGTACGTACTTTGGGTTATTTTAGGAAATAATTTTGTATATTAGAAAGATGTGGAGTGAAAGAGTCAAATGTTTTGTAGGGTACTGAAGAGTGATGACGGTTGAGTGCTCTCGGTGATGGCAGTTGGTTGAATAAAAAACCAAGAGTAGAAAACTTAGTAATAAACGAATATAATTACTAACGCCCTCTTGTGCGTAAGTTATTGTATCTTGTCTTACAATTTCCTACTCCAAGACTCGTACGTAATTAACTATATTTTGATTAGGCCTTCCCGATCATAAGGCTGTCGGATAGTTGGTTTTCATTTGATTTAACTCAAAAGTCACGAGACCGATAGTATATAAATAATTCCCTTTTTCAATTAGGTTTTCGTATCACAAGACTGGTGTTAAACAAATAATTCTATTATGATTTGACCTTATTTCATTATGTTATTTGCAGGTAAGACTGATTACACTCAGAATAACAGAACTGCTCTGCTAATAACGGGAGATTCGACAAGATATTTACTTCTAAGTAATTCTATGTTATCCGACAACTGAAGTCTTGATATATATATAGACTAAAAGCAAATGTACAATCATGATAGACCATCTTTATTTAAAACAAAAATGTATCCTTAACTGTTCTCAAAAGACAGATGCTTTTATTAGAAAGTTCCAAAATCTGTCTGTCAAGATTGTATTACAGACTAATCTCCTGAAATCGTATTACAGACTGAGTCTCCTGAGATCTTGTTCCAGATTGAATATTTCTACTCTAGCTACTTAAAACCTTAAGTCAAGCTCACCTAGAGCAGCCAGTAATACTCACGTGACTGGTCATTCCCTGATGAAATACAAGAGAGGCCGATAGCGTCAAAGACTACCTGACCAGCAGTGGAAAAGATAACTGACTAACTTCGTATACCATGCGCAACTATCTGTCTCCCGAAAAGACTAAAGGTGCTACTATAGGTGAATGACACGGAACAACGAGCAGCTAAATTGAAAGGAAGTTAACAACATTCTTTACAAAAGCGATGTGGAATCAACACAAAATAGCATATTTTGAAAATGTTCATATCAATACAGAGTAGTAGAAAACACACAGTATAAAATCAAATTAATAATTAAAATGCGACGATCGATATTAAACAAGTACAGGAACTTAAAGCACAAATTCTAGGAACAATGGTAATTAACAATAAAATGGAATATCCAATTATAGCAAAACACATACAAAAAATCACAGCACACTATTGTATGGGAAAAACTACAATCTTAGCCCAACCACGTATTGTTACTGTTTTAAATTTCCGAGAAACATTAGAAGTACTACAATTTAAAAAATAAAAACAAGTATTATATCGCGATGACGGGCCACCAAATTATAAACTAATATATAACATGACATATTGTAAACGTTGACCGGTGAATTATGTCAATAACGTTGAAACGTAATACCTCATTACATGTAGAAAGTATAAATTGTCTTGTAAGTAACTCACGAAGACGACATAGACTTATGACGAAACATGTAACATGTAGAGTGTTTTTAAGTGAAAGTCGTTGACGACTTCATTAAACCTTTAAAAGTGTAATTACAAATCGTTACATTTAATTATTTATTTGATTTTATACTATGTGTTTTCTACCTCTCTGTATTAATAAATAAATTTTCAAAATGTTATTTTGTGCTGTTTCCACATCGCGTTTGTAAAGAATGTTGCTAAATTCCTTTCAATTTAGGTGCTCATTGTTCTGTATCATTCACCTATAGTAGCACCTTTAGTCTTCCCGCAAGAAAGATAGTTGCCGATCATTCATACATAACATACAGTATGTTTATATACGAAAGTATTAAATATATAATTCTATCTCTAGTTGAGTTTCTCTTCCATGAAAAGAGGCTGGAATACATAAATAATTCTATCTCTAGTTGACTTTCTCTTCCATGTCAGGAGGCTGGAAGGACATAAATAATTCTATCTCTAGTTGACTTTCTCTTCCATGTCAGGAGGCTGGAAGTACATAAATAATTCTATCTCTAGTTGACTTTCTCTTCTATGTCAGGAGGCTGGACGTACATGAATAATTCTCTCTATCTATCTGACTTTCTCTTCCCTGTCAGGAGGCTGGAAGTACATAAATAATTCTATCTCTAGTTGACTTTCTCTTCCATGTCAGGAGGCCG